CACCCCTATGTTCATCTTAGTATTATTATTAATAGCCAGGATATGGAAACAACCTAAGTGCCCATCAACAGATGAATGGATAAAGAACATGTGGGAGATACACACACAAACACACAGGAATATTATTCAGCCATAAAAGGTGAAATCCTGCCATTTGCAACAACATGGATGGACCTTGAGGGTGTTATGCTAAATGAAATAAATCAGAGAAAACCAAATAATATATGGTTTCGCTCATATGTGAGATATAGAAAAAGAAACAAAAAACAAATGAACAAACCAAATCAAACCAAATGTTTAGATATAGAGAATAGAGTGGTGGTTGCCAGAGCGGAAGGAATAGGGGGTGGGTGCGGGAAGGTGAAATGGTTAAAGGGAGTGTGTGGCTTCACCACACTGACTCCATTTTGTCAACTCCATCTCAGGCCCACAGTCCTACCCTCTCCCTTTTCTGAGTGACTGAACTTTAGCCTACTCACAAGGAATGCACCCAAGCCAGATAAGTTCCCTATCAATTTTTGCCCTTGCCTTCATCTGATATGAAAACTGGAAGAATGCCTTTGCTGGTGCAGATGGTCAATGGTCACGAGACTCCCAGAGATAGGAAAAATCCCCAGTTCTTGTCAGTGTGGGTATGCTTCTTACTTGGTAGTCAGATTCTATTTTTAGCTTTGGCCCCTTTGAACTCCCCTGTGCCCTTTTCGATGACATGGAGTGCAGCTGCGAATGCTTCTGGATCATCCATCCAGCAGATCTTTCCCGCCTGTATGTAAGTTACCCATAATAAACTTCATAATTGCACTTTATGGAGTGGCCTGCTTCATATTTCAGCCTCAAAGTTCCTTCTCAGTTCAGAGGATATTACTCGATATCTTGGCTTCCCAAGAGGGGGTCAACTGTAGAGTCAGGGATGGAAGCTACATTTTTGGTGGTAGGCATGCCTTAGTGTATACAGAAGTAGAAATATAATGTTGTACATATGAAACATATAATGTTATAAACCAATGTTACCTCGATTTAAAAAAGAAAGAAAGAAAGAAAGGAAATAATGGCCCCAAACTTCCCAAATCTGGGAAAATGTATGCCATCCAGATTCAAGAAGCCATATAGGGGCTTCCCTGGTGGGGCAGTGGTTAAGAATCTGCCTGCCAATGCAGGGGACATGGGTTTGAGCCCTGGTCTGGGAGGATCCCACATGCTGCAGAGCAACTGAGCCCCTGCGCCACAACTACTGAAGCCCGCATGCCTAGAGCCCTGCTCCACAACAAGAGAAACCACTGCAATGAGAAGTCTGCACACCGCAATGAAGACCCAACACAGCCAAAAATAAAGAAATAAATTTATGTTAAAAAGTGAAGCCATATAGAGACAAAATAGGATGAATCCAAAGTAATCCACAGTGAGACACATTGTAATCAAATTGTCAAAAGTCAAAGACAAAGAGAGAATTTTGAAAGCAACAAGAGAAAAGCAATTCGTCATGTACAAGGGGACCCCTATAAGACTCTCAGCAGATTTCTCAGCAGGTGTCTTGCGGGCCAGAGGGAGTGGGATAATACGCTGAGGGAGTTCATCACCACTAGACCTGCCTTACAAGAAATGCTAAAGGAAGTTCTTCAAGTGGAAATGATGCCAAACAGCAACATGAAAGAATATGAAAGGAAAAGGCTCACTGGAAAAGGTAAATGTATAGAAAAATACAGAATTCTGTGATATTATAATGGTGGTACATAAATCACATTTAATTCTGGAATAGAGATTAAAATACAGAAGTAAAAATAATAACTACAAAAATATGTTAGTAGATACACAATATGAAGACATAATTTGTGACATCAATAACATAAAATATGTGTGAGGGGAGAAATAAAAGTGCTGAGCATTTGTATATGATGTTGTTATCAGTCAATACAGCTTGTTTTAAGATGTTTTGTTTCAGTCCCATGTTAACCACAAAGAAAATGCCTATAGAAGGTACACAAAAGAAAATGAGAAAGGAATCAAAGCACATCACCACACACACACACAGAAAAAAAAATCAATGAAACAGAAAGGAAGACAGCAAGGGAAAAGAGTGACAAAAAAGCTATAAGACAAACAGAAAACAATTAACAAATGACAATAGTAAGTCCTTGCCTGTTAATTATTACTTTAGATGTAAATGGATTAAACTTCTCCATCAAAAGACAGAATGGCTGAATGAATGAAAAAAGAAACAAAATCCAGCTATATTTTGTCTACAAGAGACTCACTTCAGATTTAAAGACACACAGAGCCTGAAAGTGAAAGTGTGGAAATAGACATACCATGCAAATTGTAAATGAAAACAAGGGTGGCCATACTTATATTATACAAAATAGACTTTGTCAAAAGTTCAAGCAAGGCACAAAAATACCAAGTGAAAACACCTGAAAGTTTACTACCTTGTTATAATGATTCTTAGTATTTCTTAGTATCTTCTAACACATATACATGTAAATAACAGAGATGTATGTATTTTACACTTTTAACAGGCATTTTTTTTCACATCACTTACCTGTAAGTTTCTCCTCTGCACATACCTTCACAAGCTCCCACACTCCCCTTGTGTAGAGCATTGTTTAAAATCTGGCATACATATCTCATAACTTTCTTCATCTTCATACAGTCATACATATCCAAATACACATGGTTGCCTTCAATTTCTATATAAAAAACTTTAAAATTTCATCACAGATAAATTCTTCATAAAAATAAATATATTTTAAAAGTATACAAGTGTGTAAATACAATCCAGTTAAGAAACAGAATACACAAAATAACTTTGAATCCTTTTGCCAACTTATCTCTTCATCATCCTGCCTTCCTGTAGCTACCACATTCCTGAATTTTATCATATCCTTTTTTTAAAAATTAATTAATTTATTTTTGGCTGCATTGGGTCTTCGTTGCTGCACTTGGGCTTTCTCTAGTTGCAGCGAGTGGGGGCTACTCTTGTTGCAGTGCGCAGGCTTCTCATTGTGGTGGCTTCTCTTGTTGCAGAGCATGGGCTCTGGGCACACAGGCTTCAGTAGTTGTGGCTCGTGGGCTCTAGAGTGCAGGCTCAGTAGTTGTGGTGCACAGGCTTAGTTGCTCCGCAGCATGTAGGATCTTCCTGGGCCAGGGCTTGAACCTGTGTCCCCTGCATTGGCAGGCGGATTCTTAACCACTGAACCACCAGGGAAGTCCCCTTGTTTTTTATTATGTACCACTTACACAGAAAATATCATTTGTTTCGCCTCTTTTTAAAGTTTTATGAATGGAATTATACTGTATGTATATATCTATAACTCTTTGTTTATCATATTTGTTAAATTCAGTCATTTTCACTGCTGTGCACTATCCCACTGTATAGGTACTCCACACCTAATTAAACATCCTACTTCTGATGGGCATGTTTCATTTCCAGATTTGTTACTGCAATGATATTAGTGAAAGCAATGCTATTGATTTTTCTCATGTGTCAGTACTTCTAATGTTGTGCATGTCAAATTATAGTAAAAAGACAACTCTAAACAAGATGCAACCCATCTATTTCCATGAACAGCACACTGTATTACAGTAAACCGAGTTTATATTCAACCATCAAATGCGGTTCTCCCATTAATTCACTTTTTGATGGGTCATTAAGAATACCTTCAGGGGCTTCCCTGGTGGCGCAGTGGTTGAGGGTCCACCTGCCGATGCAGGGGACACGGGTTCGTGCCCCGGTCCGGGAGGATCCCACATGCCACGGAGCGGCTGGGCCCGTGAGCCATGGCCACTGAGCCTGCGTGTCCGGAGCCTGTGCTCCGCAACGGGAGAGGCCACAACAGTGAGAGGCCCGCGTACCGCAAAAAAAAAAAAGAATACCTTCAAATCCAGTAGTTTCATCATTACCCCTCAAAATATCCAATGAAAGGTTTGAGCTTGGAAAAAATGGAAGATGCTGAACCTGCTGCACTGCCTTGAATTCCGTTTGTAGTTTTAGTGGAGCAAATAGACCGTGGATGTTTCTCAGTGTGGAAAAGTTCATTTTATCTTGGTCGATCTGGAATTTTTTTCCTGATAATTCAAGAGGATGACTGGGCAAAAGTTCATTTTTCACACAAGAAAAACCTTTTTGAAGAAGATCATGACTTTCAAAAGGTCCACTTGCTGAAAGTTCAGTAACTGGAATACTGTCCTTTTGCTGAGATCCAAGTCCTCTGACATTCATCTTCAACTAGCTCTGCAAACAGCCTCTCAGCCTGTTACCCAATGCTATTGATTTTGACGACAGAGAAATTGTTTTAAGGATTTTTAGCTGTGATGAAGCCAATTAGGGTGAAGCAAAAGAGAGACTTGGAAAAAAGGTTAGAAAAGAAAATCCTTTTTTGGCACATATATACAATGGAATATTACTCAGCCATAAAAAGAAACGAGATTGAGTTATTTGTAGTGAGGTGGATGGACCTAGGGTTTGTCATACAGAGCGAAGTAAGTCAGAAAGAGAAAAACAAATACCGTATGCTAATGCACATATATGGAATCTAAAAAAGCGGTACTGATGAATCTAGTGGCAGGGCAGGGATAAAGACACAGACGTAGAGAATGGACTTGAGGACACAGTCGGGGGAAGGGGAAGCTGGGATGAAGTGAGACAGTAGCATTGACATATATACACTACCAAATGTAAAATGGATGGCTAGTGGGAAGCAGCTGCATAGCACAGGGAGATCAGCTCGGTGCTTTGTGACGACCTAGAGGGGTGGGATAGGGAGGATGGGAGGGAGGCTCGAGAGGGAAGGGATATGGGGATATATGTATCCTTATAGCTGATTCACTTTGTTGTACAACAGAAACTAACACAACATTGTAAAGCAATTATACTCCAATAAAGATATTAAAAAATGCTTTTTTTTCAGGAACACTTGGGACTTTATTCTGAACTTGTAATAGGAACGGAATTTTACCTTCTTCCCTAATACTATATCCATTAACTGCTTTACCTACCATTTCAGATCAGAAAAAAAGTCTGGCAGAGGAAGCTACAGATATTTTGGTTCAAAACTGCCAACTGCAACAGGCCCTGCCTAGGAAATGGAAACCTGGTTTTGTATATTTAGAATATTTTAAAATGCAATGGTCACTCTTAAAAATAAAACAAGTAGTTTTCTGATTGACTATAATTATGTAGTCGCAAACAGGTTCCTTGCATTGTCTGACCTATAAGCTAGGACATCTGATTACCTAATTCTGGGCTCTGCTCTAATCTATCTGCCTCTACCCGTGGGAAGTTATTTCTTTAATCCAGGGTTTTCAAAGTTATTTGCTCAAGTTCTCTTAACATCATGAAGATTGGAAGCCTACCTCAGCCACTCCAAGACTGGCTGTTACTTTGATTTCTTCTTTCTTTTTGAAAGTTATGCTGATTTGCAGTCTTTCCCAAAACATCTTTGATTCATCATAAAACGTCCAAATCTTTTGGCAGATAAATTGCAAGTCTGCAATTTATTTGATATTAAATTTGATTCTCCAAGAAGATGTAATAACACTATTCTACTTTATACGTAACAAAACTGGTTTATTGTCACTCACTATCAAAACACACAGTCACAATTTCCAGGCACATATAGTGGTTGGTAGTCAGATAATCAAACTAACATGCCAAGCTAGATAACACTGTACTGTTTTTCAATCCCAGCTGGACAGTGTTCCACTTTCACAATTACCATGGTATGCACACAAAAGAAAAGCCTATCAGAAAAAACATCTTACAAATATTGTCATCTTCGGTTACTGACATTAACACAAATACATAAAGACACAGACCTCCTCAAGTCTCTCAGTCCTACAGAGACCTTCTCACAAGTCTACATGGTCACAATATCCATTCACGACCACTCATTGTTGCTTTCCAACAGTAGCATATAACCTCTGATACAAACCGCCTTACACCTAAGGAAACAAAGATTCACATTTGCAGAGACTATCCCATGAAAATAAACAAGTCTACACAGGGTTCCAGACACCGAATTGGACCCACAAGCGCACCCAAAGCAAGGCACATTCATCTTTTCAACTGCCAGACCCTGCTCCAGTCTCTCGTGCCCAGGTAAGCTCGTGACCCCGCTCAGGGTCATTCTCACGGACTTTACCCAGGATGCCCCCGCTCACTGAGGCCTAAGTCCCTGGTCACGCGCCCCCTCCCCCTCCCCCCCCCCCCCCCGCCCCCGCTCTGGACTCCAGAATGCGTTCCTCAGCCTTCGCTGGGAACCTCTTAATTCGCCCAGAGCCATGCTAAAGACTACTGAGCCACTAGGCTCGACCAAGACTCGAACTATTCCTCCCACCTAAGACCAGAGATTCGGGTGGGCTTTAGAAAAGGCGTCTCTGATAGGCGGAGCCGAGTTGCATGCTGCGAGCATTCTGAAGGTCCAGGTTCCCAGCTTCTGGGGATTCGTCTGCCGCGGACTACATTTCCCAGAAGTCTCAGGGCACAGGACCTCTCGGGGCAGGGCGAGATTGCCTGCGGAGAGCGCCTGGAAGCGTCGGGCTCCGAGCCTCAGAGGATGTTCCGGCTCTTATTTCCCATGACCCTCTGGGCCCAAAGTAACCTCCGTTTCTGGGTCCCTTTCCGGTGTCTTCGAGATTTTTGGACTCTGCGCGGTGAGTTAGTCGCGTCCGAGGAAGTGATCAGCGCCGGGTGAGGGTGGGAGGGCTCAGCGGACTTCGCCAGAGCCTTGTCGGAACCAGCAGTGCGTGTGGGGGTGACACTGGGAGGCGCTCGAGGTGAGAAGGCCCGGGCAGCGGACAGGGCGAGTCGTGTCCGGTGTCCGGAGCCTCAAGCCTGTGTGCGAACGAGAGGCTGAGAAGGATGGTGTGTGACAGACGGCGTGACAGGGCCGGGGTGTGTCTCCCTAACGGTGTGTGCTATTGGGAATGTGTGACGGGATCATGAAGTGCGTGACCTTGTTTGTAGGTGTGGTTTGCTTGGGCGGGATGCTCTAGGTTCCTTCTAGACTCTCTTAGGGGCTGCCAGAGTTAAGTGACCGCAAGAAAAGAATTCCAGGACTAAGCCCTAGAATGTACGTTTCCAGTAAGAAAGTACAGATCTAGTCTTGGGATGAAAATTTGACATTTGGACGTGTCCTCGTGACAGGCTCCTGGAAAGACATGATTGGGGAGGTCCTACAGGTAGGATTCCTAGAAAAATCACCTCCTTGGGGGACCGGCTACCTGTTTCAGCTCCACTACCAACAGACCTCTGTCCCCAAGAACTGCTGTCAACTCAATTCCAGTTTCCCTTTGAGTTCCGTTTGTGTATGTTCCGTTTGTGGATGAAGGCAGATGTGGCCCTGGGGAGTGTTTTATTTTGTTTTGATTTTAGTTAGGTTTGTCTGTGTTCCAAGAAATACTGGTGTCTCGTGATTTCTCCCCACCCCCTCCTGCTGCCCCTAACGCCCATCCCCCCCAACCCTAGTTGCTGCTGGGTTTCTGAAAAGGACCCTGAGAAGGACAGAATTGTTGCATATTTAGAAACTAAGGTTCAGGTGAATTTGTGTTTCTTTTTTATTCATAGTTACTTTTGTTTTTAGATCATGACGCTATTTGCTTTCCTTGACCAGAAATATCTTGACTATTTTTCAAGACACTTGACTAGTAGTGTCTATCTTGGGTCTTCCTTCTGGTGAATGACCCATCATGCTGGTGCCTCCCTCTTCCCAGAGGCCCCCTATTGTCCTTTTCCTCAGTCAGTAGCCATCCGTTCATATGGCAAATTGTTCAAATCCTCCAGTACATTTTCCCTTTCTAAGCAATTTTTTTTTTTTTTTGGCCCGACCGCGTGGCACGCAGGATCCTAGTTTGCCGACCAGGGATGGAACCCGCCCCTCCTTCGTGCAGTGGAAGGGCGGAGTCTTAACACTGGACTGCCAGGGAAGTCCCTAAGCATTCTGATGGTATAGAAGCACACCACTTCCAGAAGGTGGGCTGGAGGTGGGCTGTTAGGGCTTTATTTTAGACTATGATTACTTGAGGAGATTAGCATTTAGGTGGTATCGAATACAAATTATGTTTTATCTGTTCCACAGTCATGGTTTTCAAAGCAAGGCAAGGTAGGAGGGGATTGGTTATTTCAGGTAGTAAATTACAATGTTGTGAGGCTTTCAGGGGTGGGAATGTGATTGAGGTTTCAGCATGGTGTTGCCAAGTCCAAGCTCAAACTACTTGCCCCAGGACAGGCCGATAAATCGAGAGACGAGTTGTTGGGGCAAGGAATAGCGACTTTATTCAGAAAGCCAGCAGACTGAGAAGACGGTGGGCTCATGTCCCAAAGAAGCATCTGGCCTGAATTAGAATTCAGGCTTCTTTTATACTGAAAGGGGAGGGAGTGAAGTCAAACATTTCCTGGTTCCTGTCAGCCTCTGGAGGGGATGTGTTCATTTTTTCCTCCCTGTGGGCATTCGTAGGTGAATCTGGTCAGGATGTTTCCTGTGAGCTAAACAAAGGTATTTTAGCTTAATGCTCATTACCTGGGGGGTTTAGGTAGGGTTCCCAGAGATGGGCCATTATGTATAATTTAAGCTTATAGGCAACATATCTTTAGTGATTAACTTGTAATAGAACATAAAGGTTCTTCCCTATTACAGTAGTGGTTTGCAGTTTGTACCCACAAGGGCAGAGACTTTCAGATAATTTTTAGGTAGAAATCTGTAGCATTGCCAAACATGAGTTATTTCAGGTCCAATTCTGTGCGGGTTCTGAGAGGTAGTAACTGTGCTGTGGTTAAGAGTAAGGCTCTGGATCTAGAGCATCTGGATCCAGCTCTACCTGTTACTTGCTGTGTGAGTGTAAATAAACGACTCAGGCTCTCTGTGCCATGTCTACAAAATTGGAACAAAGTAATACCTACCTAATGGAGTTATAATGATGTAAGTTGAGTTCATATGTGTAAAGCTCCATAGAACAGTGCCTGCCCCATGATACAGGCTTAGTAAATATTAAGATTTGCTGTTATGTGGTGATTCTGGATCATTCCACATCAACTTTTTATAGATCAAAATATGAAGAGAGATAAAATGATTGTGGTGGGTGCTTGCAAGTTTGAAAAAGTTACCAGGGGCTCAAATGGTCTAGAACAGGAAATCTTAACCTGAGGTCTTCTTATTCCATTTATAAGCATCCAGGTGATCACAGATCCCTTGAAATAGAGACAGAATTTTTGTAAATATTTGTAAATTAATTTCTAAGTGGGCAGAGTGTCCCTAATTTCATGAGATTACCGAGTATGCATGACCCCCAAAAGATCTAGTTCCATTTGTCTGGAATAAGATTATAATAGCTTGGAAGGAGCTTTTACAAATTTAGAATCCAATGACATGGAAACAGTTAAGTAAATGCAGTATACCGTTTGATGGAATAATATGCACCTAATAAACATTATGTTTATAAAGAATCAAAAGAAGGGAAAATGTAAATGATAAAATATCAAGCAATAGTTATAGTTATGGACAAAAGTACTTAAGAATATTATGAGTTACATATGGATCCCATCCAATAAGAGAGAGTTTTGAAAGACATTTTTCAAGGATTGTATCCAAATGTTTTAAATTGACCATTCAGTGAAGAATTAGAGAGGTGTAGCCACACTTGTTAAGTATCTACTCTGTACCAAATATTGTTCTGTTTATATGCATATATTTCCTTGCTGCGACTTTGAAGGGGACTTACATAATTTGTGTTCATTCACAGGAGAATCTTGACAGTGAAAGTGTCTCACTGTAGTGATGAGCTACAGCTACAAGATGTTGAAGAGCTGGTAGGTGTCATTTGTTTCAGACCCACCGATTTTCAGTGTTGGGCCTGTTTGTTCAGTTTTCCTAATGACTGAATTCCCTGTTACTCAGTTTTCTACTTTTGGAAATATCTTTATTTTTCTGATTATGGAGTTAATGCGGGTGTGTTGCAAAAAATTCAGCAATCCAGGGAATGTATAGAGAAGGAAGTTAAAATTATATCCTGTAGAGTTAATCATCTCTAATATTTTGATGTATTTTTATTCATTTGCTTAAGGCAGGACAGGATCACTTAAGCACACCTGATCTAAAGCTTCTTTTTCCTTCTGCAGCTCTGGCTTTTCTGGACTCTGTGCTTCACCAGTAGAGGAACCCTATGGAGCATTAATTAGTTCCTGCAATTCTAGAACCATGACTGACGTAAGTTGGTATTTCTCTCTCCTTGAAGTGTTGTGATTTTTAGGTCATGTGAATCTTTTCCTGAATTAACCCTAAAGCTTTCTACTTAACAGAACCCCATGCCTGAACCTGCTTCTCGGTTCCTTCTGTTCCAGTAAAGGATGATGCCAAAGAGCCCAGCGTCCTCCCTCTGTGCCTTTTCCAATCAGTGCCATCATATTCATTGAGCACATTACTCAACATCTCCTGCGATTCAGTCTTCCATCAAGAGCAGTGAAGGAATGGAGTCCTTTAAGGGAAATATTTGAGTGTCTGTCAAAGAATAATGTAAAGAAATATAGAGAACAATCAGCTCGCTTCTATTTGTATACAAGGAAAACCAACAGTAGATTGAGTTCATCTTTCAAAGGCACAAAGAGGATTTCATAGAAGAAGGAAAGAGGAGAGAATGAAAGACTGCAGACATTTGGAAAACAACAGTTTCTCTTTTTCAAGCTAAGTTGCTGATTAGTTCATGTCCTATCTAGAAAAAAATGGCTGAAGTTCCCCAATTGTTTTTCTTTTTCAGGCTAAGATACAGCTAGGAAAGAAGTCGGTCAGGATTCTCTGCCCTTAGCCAGCTGGATGGCCACCCACGAGAACAGTTTCAGTAGTCTGTGTATTATCTGGAAGAGCTTTGGTGTTTGACTGGGACGTATCCATGGCAGGCTGTCTTGGGTCTTGCCTTTTGTTATCACTTCCATCTTTGTTCGGCCAGGGCTGCCCCATTTCCCTTATCAGAATTTCTCATTCCCAAGACAGGTCTGCGGTGTGATGAGTTAGTGATCAGGGTCCCTTTGGACCACACAGGAAGACGTGGAACTTCTTCACAGACCTGAGTTTTCCAGAAAGACAAGATGGAATATGGGATTTCTTCGTCATAGCCTCAGTTTGTATGAGATCACATGCTTTGCAAGCTTTTAGGATTAGAGCGGGGAGTGAGTGGTTCTTTCCAGGGACTCCCTTATCAGTAAACACCAGTGTCAAAGTCTGTTTAGTTATTGACCAGGATGTGACATCTGTGTTGTGTCTGATATACTCTATCAATATCCTCCAACTCGGGAACAAGGAATGTGTTAAGCAGCAGGTGGTTAATGTTACCATGTAAAAAGATGATCCAGATTCTTAAGTACTGGCTGATAATAGACTCCTAGAATTAAGAAAATCTTGGAAGTTTTGTTCAACCTGAATGTATAATAGTCATTAATCTCATATATCCACATGATGAACTGAATTGCAGGTAATAAAAACATTTTACATATTCGATTCATCATAATAAGAAAAAATGCTGATGATATAATCTCACCGCATGCTTCACTTGAGGCTTAATGATAATCCTTAATTGAAATCATTTTTCTAAAATAAGAGATTTTGTAGGACATTTGGAAAAAAAGTTTTTATGTGTTTTTGGTATTTCTTAAAGGGAAAAGATGGTGTAGCAGTTCACATTTATAAAGAATTTATGAGACTTCCCTGGTGACACACTGGTTAAGAATCCGCCTGCCAATGCAGGGGACATGGGTTCGAGCCCTGGTCCAGGAAGATCCCACATGCCGCGGAGCAACTAAGCCCGTGTGCCACAACAACTGAGCCTGCACTCTAGAGTCCACGAGCCATAACTGCTGAAGCCCGCGCGCCTAGAACCCGCGCACCACAACGAAGAGTAGCCCCCGCTCGCCGCAACTAGAGAAAGCGCGCACAGCAACGAAGACCCAACGCAGCCATAAATAAATAAATAAATAAGAATTTATGAAGCAGGCACTTAGCAGGTTGTATGTATGTATAGACACCCATAAACGCCCCCATCCCCTTCCCCCAACACTATTTTTATTTAATAGAAGAGAAACATTATTTTATGCATTATCAGACAGATCTGGATAGCTGAGTTACCTCACAGTATCCAGGAAGTTATGCTGTAATAGGTTTCTTTTAGAACACGTAGACACTCTGCTTTAGTCATACTAATTTCTTTACTTTTCCCTACCCATACGTCTCACAGGCTTCCAGCCGACTGGATCGTTATATTTTCCTCTTCTTATAGTTTATACTTCATACTCCTCTTTTTTCCTCTTGGAAATAGTTTCTAAATTTCTTTAATTTCACAAGTAATGTGTGGGTTTTTGGTTTTAGGGCTTGGTGACATTCAGGGATGTGGCCATTGACTTCTCTCAGGAGGAGTGGGAATTCCTGGACCCTGCTCAGAGAGACTTGTACGTGGATGTGATGTTGGAGAACTATAGCAACTTGGTCTCACTGGGTAAGTTCATCTGCCTGAAATAGTTTAGAATCTCCTTTCTGGAACATCAGCTTTCTGCATTAGGAATTACAGGGCTGTCTTTGAAGAAACCAGGTGAATTTCTCCTCCGTGTTCTCAAAGGAATGTTTTGGTATTTGTTGGCTTAGAAATGGGTTCATTGAGCACCTCGATCATCCCATCCCTCAGTAAGCTTCAACCTTCCTCTGGCCCTTTCTGTAATGGCCTCTCTTCTTTAATGACCAAAGAGCTGGATTTGCATTATGGGGTCTTTATTTCATAACCACCGTCAAAGAAACCAGATTTCATACTGTGTTTAGCTTCAACATTTCTATAGATGATCTGTGTCCTTGCTACTCAAAGTGTGGTTCTTTTTTTTAAAATAAATTTATTTATTTTCTATTTACTTATCTTTTGGCTGCGTTGGGTATTCATTGCTGCACGTGGGCTTTCTCTAGCTGCCTGCGGCCAGGGAGGGTTACTCTTCGTTGAGGTGCAGGGGCTTCTTATTGCGGTGGCTTCTCTTGTTGTGGAGCAGGGGCTCTAGGCACGCAGGCTTCAGTAGTTGTGGCACGTGGGCTCAGTAGTTGTGGTGTGCAGGCTTAGTCGCTCTGCGGCATGTGGGATCTTCCTGGACCAGGGATCGAACCCGTGTCCCCTGCATTGGCAGACGGATTCTTAGCCACTGCGCCACCAGGGAAGTCCTGAAAGTGTGGTTCTTTTGTATTAGGAACCATAGAAAGGCCAGAGCAGAGTTAGTGAAGGAGAGGGTACCAAGAAGTGAGTCAGGGAGACAGGCAGGATCCAGGTGACAGGCAGCATTGTTGGTTTTGGGGAAGAATGTGGATTGTTCTCTTAGTGGTTAGAAGCCATGATTTGCTTTATGTGGGGTTTTAATTTTTTTATTGTTAAGCATTACACAAATATCTATCATCAACTTCTTCTGGGGCTTGTTAGAGTAACTTTTTTTTTTTAATTAATTTTTGGCTGCATTGGGTCTTTGTTGCTGCGTGCGGGCTTTCTCTAGTTGCGTCAAGAGGGGGCTACTCTTCATTGTGGTGCTTGGGCTTCTCCTTGCAGTGGCTTCTCGTTGTGGAGCACGGGCTCTAGGCGCATGGACTTCAGTAGTTGTGGCATGTGGGCTCGGTAGTTGTGGCTTGTGGGCTCTAGAGCACAGGCTCAGTAGTTGTGGCACACTGGCTTAGTTGCTCCGCAGCATGTGGGATCTTCCTGGACCAGAGATCGAACCCGTGCCCCTGCACTGGCAGGCGGATTTTTTTTTTTTTCATAGCTTTATTGGACTATGATTGCCTTACAATGTTGCGTTAGTTTCTGTTGTACAGCAAAGTGAATCAGCTATAAGTATACATATCCCCTCCCTCTTGAACCTCCCTCCCATCCTCCCTGTCCCACCCCTCTAGGTCGTCACAAAGCATGGAGCTGATCTCCCTGTGCTGTGCAGCAGCTTCCCACTAGCCATCCATTTTACATTTAGAAGTGTGTATATGTCAGTGCTACTCTCTCACTTCATCCCAGCCCCCAGCCCCCTACTCCCACCCTGGCCCCATGTCCTCAAGTCTGTTCTCTAAGTCTGCATCTTTATTCGGCAGGTGGATTCTTAACCACTGCACCAGCAGGGAAGTCCCCGGGGCTTGTTAGAAATGCAGCTCGTCGAGTCCTACCCCAGAGCTGCAGAACAGAATCTACATTTACACAAGATTCCCAGGTGATTTTTATGCATACTAAAGAATCGCTGCTCTTTGTTATATTCTGACCCATGTATGGGGAGTACAGCTAGAAACAGGATCCTGACATACTCTGGCTTTCAAAAGAGCCTCTCCAATTTATGTAGCAATGGATTGAATGAACAGAAATTCATACTAAGTGAATACGTTCCTTTACTTCCAACATATTTGAAGTTGAAAGTTACAGTCTGTGAACTTTGCACTTTACAAAGTTAAATCCTACACTAAGTTAAATCCTAGAAATGTCTCACAAAACTTGTTTCCACTTAAGCAAAATAACAACAGTAACAATAATAATGATAATAGTTAACATTGTGCTTACTATAAACCAGGCCCTTTTCTAAGCAGAGCAAATACATGAAGTTATTTAACTTTTACAGGATCCCCGTGAGGTAGGTACTATTTTTAACCCTTTTTATAGATGAGATTACTGAGGCACATACAGTTTAAGTGCCCTCCCAAGGTCACACAGCTGGTGGGGATGCAGTGGCAACAACTGAACCTAGGAAGTCTGGCTCCAGAATCTGTGTTCTTAACCACTGTGTTCTGTTTGCTCTAAAGAGATAGAACCTGAATGAGTCTAAAACAAGATCATTTTCCTACTTATATGATCTCATGTTCTTCATTCCCACCATCCTTCTCTTCTCTGAAGTCTTCATCAATATTATTTTTACCTTTACTTTATTGCAAATTTAACCAAATGTTTTGCCCTTATAATTAAAAAAAAACACACAACAAAACCCTTACACCATTTGGCATTTCTTTTCTTGCAAACACACACTCCATTTCTAAGCCAGATATGATGACATTATTGGAGCAAGGAGAAGAGCCCTGGGTAGTTGAGGGGTGGGTGGGGTACAAGAAGTTGCATTACAGGAAGGCAAAGGCAGGAGGGAACCATCAGTGCAGGAACGACCTCACAGGTCACAGAGGAGGAGAAGGGGGAACAGCTGGGATGGTATTTGGAAACTCCTTATGAAGGACCAAGGCCTGGGAGGAGATAGAGATCTCAGTTTGAGCTACAAAAGGAACTTCATCTTCATCTCATTTCCCAGGCTCCTTGTTTTTCTTCTTATAATTCCCCCCCATTTCAGTGAGGAAGGTGTTCTTTTTTGTTCCCAATGGAACCATTTTACTTACATGTTGGATGCAGGTGCTTTCCAGCTCTTTTGCATTTGTGTGTGTATGTGAATGAATATACATATTCATTCATAAATTCTTCAAACATTTGGAGTGCCTACTCCTTGCCAGGCATTGTACTGGGCACTATTAATACAATCAGGAACAAGATTGATAAGTTGCTTATTCTCATGCACTTTATGTAGTTGAGGAGAAACATAAAATAAGTAAACAAGTAGATAAATAGTATCATGTAATGAAACATGTTGTTCAGGAGAGGCAAACAGCGTAAGAGAATAGAAAATGATGAGAATTGAAAGGGCCAATTCAGATAAGATGGTCAGGGAAAGCTTTCTTGAATAGAGACATGAAGCCTGGGATCAAGTTATATGAATACCTGGGGGCGGAATATATCAATCACAGTGAATGGCAAAGGCCCTAAGGTTGGTAAGGAACTTTATTGGAGGAACTCTAAGAAGGCCAGGGTAGAGTTAGTAAAGGAGCATGTGCTAAGAATTTGGGTCACGGAGACAGGCAAGGGCTAGACAGTATACAGTTTTGGGGGTTTTGTCTTAAGAATATATATATTTTTAGATTATATTCCATTATAGGTTATTACAAGATATTGAATATAGTTCCTTATGCTGTACAGTAAATCCTTGCTGTTTATTCTGTGTATAGTAGTTTGTATCTGTTAATCCTATATTCCTAATTTATCCCCCCCCCCACTTTCCCCTTTGGTAACCATAAGTTTTCAATGTCTGTGAGTCTGCTTCTGTTTTGTATATAGATGCATTTGTACTATTTCTTAGATTCCACATATAAGTGATATCATATAATATTTGTCTTTCTCTGACTTACTTCACTTAGTATGATATTCTCTAGGTCCATCCATGTTGCTGCAAATGGCAATATTTCTTTCTTTTTTATGGCTGAGTAATATTCCATTGTGTATATACACCACATCTTTTAAAACGAATTGTCTATTGATGGGCACTTGGGTTGTTTCCATGCCTTGGCTATTGTAAATAGTACCACTATAAACATTGGGGTGCATGTATCTTTCTGAATTGCAGTTTTCATCTTTTTGGAATATATGCCCAGGAATGGGATTACTGGATCATATGGTAGCTCTATTTTTAGTTTTTTAAGAAACCTCCATACTGTTTTCCATAGTGAGTGCACCAATTTATATTCCTACCAACACTGTATGAGGGTTCCCTTTTCTCCACACCCTCTCCAGCATTTATTATTTGTAGACTTTTTGAGGGTGGCCATTCTGACCAGTGTGAGGTGATACCTCATTGCAGTTTTGGCTTGCATTTCTCTAGTACTTACTGATGTTGAGCATCCTTTCATGTGCCTGTTGGCCATCTGTATGTCTTCTTTGGAAAAATGTCTATTTAGGTCTTCTGCCTATTTTTTGATTGGGTTGTGTTTTTTTTTTAATACTGATTTGTTTGAGCTGTTTGTATATTTTGGAAATTAACCCCTGTTGGTCGCATCATTTGCAAATATTTTCTCCCACTCTGTATGTTGTCTTTTCATTTTGTTGATTTATTTTGTTATGCAAAAGCTTTTAAGTTTGATTAGGTCCCATTTGTTTATTTTTGCTTTTATTTCTCTTGCCTTGGGAGACTGGTCTAAGAAAATATTTCTACGATTTATGTCCAGGAATGTTTTGCCTGTTTCTCTTCTAGGAGTTTTATGGTGTCATGTCTTAATATTTACGTCTTTAAACCATTTTGTATATGGTGTGAGGGAGTGTTCTGATTTCATTGATTTACATGTAGCTGTTCAGCTTTCCCAACACCACTGTTGAAGAGACTGTCTTTTTTTCATTGTATGTCTTGTCTACTTTGTCGTAGATTAATTGACCGTAGATGTATGGGTTTATTTCTGGGCTCTCTATTCTGTTGCATTGATCAATATGTCTGTTTTTGTGCTAATACCATGCTGTTTTGATTATTGTAGCTTTGTAATATTGTCTGAAGTCTGGAAGAGTTATGCCTCCAGCTGTTTTTCCTCTCAGGATTACTTTTTCAATTCTGGGTCTTTTGTGGTTCTGTATAAATTTTAGGATTATTTGTTCTAGTTCTGTGAAAACTGAGACAAACAACAATGAAAACACAACTTACA